GTGCCGGAGATTTCCATCTGTTGAGAGCTTGCATTGTTCTCCGGCGGACGGTCTGCGCAAAGACGTTGTGCCGCCGTTGTGTTGCCTTCATGAACAGAGAAAAGTGAGCCCGAGCCGTAGTGTGCCGGCGAATTCATTGCACCGAGCTAAGCACATCACATTACGTGAGTTCCCTAGGGCTGCGTTACCAGCAGATGTACATGCCGTTCGCCGGCGGTACCGCTCTACTGCACTACCTGTTAGTACTGAATAGGTCGAGCGTGCCGCGTGCCGTGCATCCCTCGAGCCCCGGGCTGCCCGTCAGGCCCTGCCCAGCCCGTCCTAGGCGTCGACGTTCGAAAGGTGGTCAGGTGGCCGTTGTCAAAAGTCACCGGGGGTTGTACCGGGGTGTACCGATGTGTACCGGGGCTGGCCGATGGTCCAGAGCCTCTCAGACGTCTGTTTGATGCATTCAGTAGTGATGTATGAGGCGTTTCTGTGCGTATTCTTGTCGATCCGCGGTGCGCCTCCTTTGATGTGTGGCGTAAGATGGCGTCGTCTGTGCGCGGAGACCCCACTGTGTTTCTGGCCAGGTTTGGACAGGTTTGTGGCCACCTGGTGCATTTGACATCCGGCCTTCCTATTCTTTCCCACTCTCCATTGAATAGCACATCCCTCCCCGAACGCCTCGTGCAGGTTTCTGCCAAAACCGCGTGGCCCAACCGAGACATTGCGAAACACTGCGAGGCACTGCGCCAGGCTATCGCGCTATCTTTCGCGGGGCGTGAGAGTGACCCGCCCGCTGGCACGCGTACATCCTACATCCGCGATAGCGCTGGCTCTGCATCGGCTGACGATCCGTGGCGGCAGGGTTAGGCACCTGCCCTGCAAGACGCCTGTGTTTGTCTATTTGGGGAGAACACCAGGTGGACCACTACCTGATGGCGCTCATTTTGGTCTGCGTGATGGACACAAACTCGCTGCAACCGAAGTTTGCGCTCAGGTGAGCAGGGAACTAGCGCGCCCCAGCAATGCACAATGAGTTCAATAGACGACAAAGAAACACGGGAACGCGCCGGATAAGGTTCAGGCTAAGGCTGGGAGTGTTCCTGAGAGGTTTGCGCGTGTCCGGCGGGCCAGGATAGGCTGTAAGGCTGCGAGGGCAAGTCGGGCCAAGTGCACGGCCCGCGCACGAGCTGCCGGACATGCCGGGAGGCTTGCCGTATGCATAATTGATGCATACACTTGCACGCCAGGCTCAGTACATGACCGAGGGATCAACACGTACGGCATGCGGCATGTTGGAAGAGGTGGGGGGTGATGTCAGCGTTACTCTGCGTCACGTCGAGGTGGTGCGCTCCTACATTCTTCTTAGCTCCCAAAATCCCGGCTCCAAAAGACTCTTAATGTGCGGGGGCTGGCAAGCTTGGGAATGTATGCCATGTTCCGTTTTCGAGTTGGCGGATGCTAAGCCGTCTTACGTATAGTAAGGTTTCCAAATTCCTGTTGTTTCCTACGGCCACCCTGCTCCCTGGGCTCCAGAAGAATGTGTTCCACCCCCGAGGAGTGAAGCTCGGAAGCTGCGCGGAGCTTGCACTGGTCCTGCAGACGAGCGGAGCTTCTGTGCGTCCCCCGCATCGGAAGTTCAGTTCTTCTACCTGAAGCTGCCGGGCGTCGTACTCTTTTCCAATAACACGTTTTCGTGTGCTTTACGGACAGCTCGTTGGTCAGTCCAACGGACCGGAAACTCGGAAGCGCCGGACCGACTCCCGCTCCTTCGTCACGTCAGTTCGCCTCCTCGCTATCTTCCCTGGTTTGCTGAGAAGCCAAGTCGGGTTTGCGTTTCGCTAGAGGCTCCCGAACCCAGGACGGTCCAGGATCCACGGGCACAGCGCCAGTGTGATGAACATAATGCCCAGCCCTACGCCCTCCGCAAGCCCTTCCGTAAGCCCACCGCCTTGGAAATGGGATGCACAGGCACGCAGAATTGGGACCATTTCTGCGCGGAGGAACCAGGGATCCACGGGGGGTTAAAGAAGGGGTTACCAGAGGGACGTGGGAGGGAAACGAGCGGGGATGAATCGAACCCCGCCATCTCTCTTGACTTGCTGAGCCTGAGCGCCTGTGGGTCTTACGCTGTAGGTCTTTCCGTCTTACAGGTGTTCTGAATACGCGTGAGGAAGGGACACTGAGACAGCTAGATGCTCAGCTGTGCGGTGTGATGAATAGTGTGTCTGAGTTGCAACTCCCGCACGCCACGCCACTCCATGCGCATCTTCGTAACTTGCACAGCCGCCGGCTCTGGCAGCTTGCGACGCTCTCTCGTCTCACTCGTCACGAGCGCTTGGGGTCTGCCCGTCTGTCCATGGTTGCCCGTACGCGGACCACGCGAGCTAACCCCTTCTCTTTCAATCATGTACGTACGTCTTTCCGTGCCTGAAGGCTTCTCTGCTGTTCCTCTGCGCTTCTGCACTTTCGGGACAAAGAAGACGTCACCGCACAGGTGTCCCTTCATCTGACCTTCATCTCGCCTTCATTTCAACCTGACTCCGAACCTGAGCAGGACCTGCTCGGACCTGATTCACCTGTGGACGGCTTGTCTGACCTCGGAATCGTCTCGAGCACAGCTGTACACCTCCAGCCCTCCAACATGAACTTGCCCTTCCCCGCTTCCCCCGCATCGAGTCGGACACGCGGGCGGGAAAGCCGCTGGAACATCCGTGCCTGGCGCTTAGTTGCACGTCTTGGACGCTTGGCTCGTTTCAAAGCGTTCGGAATCACCGACTGAATGCGAGTCCGTCAATGTTGCGGTCCGTGCGGCCTCCATAAACGATACGCGAGAAACAAGACGGAGAGATTGAATGTGCCCCGGTCCTTCACCCGGGCCGTACGGCCGTAGGCCGCCGCTCCGAATAGAACTCTGAAGGGCCCTGTTTGTGACAGTGTCTTGTATTCACGACGCAGGAGGTTTAGGCTTAGCGAAGATCAGTGGCCCTCAGTTGTCTACTTTTGGATTTAGTGGCGCACCTGTATTCGCGTGGCGTCTGTGACGACGCTGCAACTATGCACCTATCGAAGTCATTCAGTCCTGTTGCGGCCACCTGCGGGCACCAACATTCATTGAGGGCGAAGCAGGGAGTTCAAATGCCAAGCTGCTCGCTAATGGATGAGTTTCATGGGACGGGTAAGAAGTATACAACTTGATGTGACGGGGTGCAAAGATCACTCAGCACCCTTCTTCACCTCGTCCAGAGCCTCGCGGAGCTGCACGCGCAGCTTCTTGACTGTGGGCGTGTCGTCGTCGCTGGGCGGCGGCTGAGTGTCAGCAGCAACGATCACTATCAATGTCAGGAACTGATCGCGCTGGCAGGATTACCCGGTTCATCCAGGATAATCGAGACATTGATCCGGAATGCAATAATCGATTAAACTTGACGGCTCCTGCACTTGCTGCTCCTGGATGCAATGCAATCAATGCAGTCAAGCTGTCGAATGCAACTGCTGCGCAGTGACCTGCCGTGGAATCGCAGAGCCCGATCCCGCACAACTCCAGAGCCCGAGCATGCTACCCATGACCCTGCAGTAATCGACAACTGATGAGCGGCGTGCACGGTCCATGGCCGATCTACCCGGCCGTAGGCAGTACTCCGACGGCGTGCGGCGGGAGTCAGCGGGCGTATAGTGCGGGCGTGCGCTCAATGTCCCGAGCTTCTGCCGCACATCATGCCACATCATGCACATCAGGAAAGCGAGGACTGACACGGGATAGCCGAAGGAGAGGTCCCACTTGTGGACGTCTTCAGGTCAAAGAGGATGAGTGGGGAGTGGAGGAAGGGCGCTCACCAACTGGTCGAGGAGATACCTGGTGTCAGCACAGCGATAAGAGGAACCAATACGCACTCGAGGTCGTCAATTGTCTGGCCGATTGGCATCAGCTGAGGTCCACAGTAACTTAGCTGCTCGCGGCGCAGCCACGGAGTGTGCGGGGCACGCGTAAGAAGCAGGGCGAATTACTCTGGAATTACACGCTTTCACTCATGATTTCGATTTCGGAAATGGGCGAGCGGCGAGCTGGCGAACCTGCTTACAGGGACGATGGAAGACCCTGGGCAGGCCGCATTTGTTCGCCGGAGTAGTGGGATAGTGAAGGTGATGATGTTATGAGGGGGTAGGACATGGGAGGAGTGGGGCCTGCCTGAGCACCTGCTATCTGGCGCATGTCCGTCTGATCCGCGACCCGCTCGCTTCAGATTGAGGCGGTCAGGCGATTGTGGAAGAACTCACAAGAACTACCGGGATGCTGGTCCGTCAGCGGGCGCGGGAAGGGCGGGGGGGGGCAAAGACTCTCGGCACCCGGACCGTTGACGTACCGATTCATGGTGGTGCGTTAGTCGCGGGATGTCTAGGTCTAGGCGCTCTATTGGCTGGTGTGACGGATACTGGACACTGGGAGAAGGAAAGATGGGAGGGAAGATGCTCGTTGTGGACACGGGCTCCCCGGGCGGAGCGTGGACCGAAGCGATGACGATGGAGCGGATGAGGAGACGACGGCGGCTGCGCGGTTGGTTCCGTTGTTGCCTTCTCCACTCGTCTCAGCGTCGCGTGCCTAGACCCCTCGCAACCCCTCGCAACCCCTGGTGCATCCAACCTTCACCACCCAGGTCTCACGATCGCTATCGTCATGAGTCTGTAGCTTATCTATCTTGAACCGTTTTGCAAATGAAGTATGCAACAGGGATAGTAGGAAGCAAAGCGTGTGAAGTTCGTGTGTGTTCATCATTGCTAAGATAAATGCCGTGTCCGTGTAATGGGAAGATGATATTCTATGTATGGCTACAACAACATGATAGTAATTTATAATGGGCTCAATCCAAGTGACGAATCCCTGTGTTTGCCGAGATGGAGACTGGATGAAGACTGGATGAAAGATAATACTGGAAAATGCACTTGATGCGACTTGATTGTTCGTGTGTATGGTTGGTTGAATGTCCGATGATATTTGATGGACGCAGAGATCGTGTTTACAAAGCGTTCCTCCGCGCCGAGATGAGCTGCGCCTGCGCATGCCTGAAGCCAAGCTTCCTCCACTTCGGTGATGGAGCAGCGGGCGATAGCTCGTGCTGCTCCATCATCATGTCGTACGCGCTCAAGACAGAGCCCTTGCGGATGGTGACGACGGAAGCCTCGCCTTCATCAAAGTGCGGCGACTGCGTCGAGCAGCTGCTGCAAGAGGAGCAAGTGCTTCCGGCCGAGTCGCGACGAAGAAGTGCCGGTGTTTCGGCCTCCTCAAGCTGAAGGCGCGAGAAGGAGTGGATCGGCGACGACTTCTGATGTCCTGACGCCGCGTGGATGTGGATCGTGGGGTGCGAGGCGACGAAGTAGTCGTGAGGCTCCTTCGAGGTAGGTGGGGCGTGGAGAGGTACGGGTGCGGATGCGGCCGCCGCAGATCGTGTAGAGGGGCGGGGCATGACCGGGGTGTGTCGCGGGGGAACGGGAAAGCGAGATGCGGAGGGGATGTTGACGGAAGAGAAGGTTGCCTTCGTAGTCGGGGTTGGGGGAGGGGAGAGGGGCTGATAAACGACCTGCGCCTGCGCCTGAGCCTGAGCCTGAGCTTCGGCCTCGCGAGCGGCAGCCACTCGGGACTGCTCAGCCCAGAATGGTCGCATGTGGGTGATGAGGGCCGACTCCTCGACGCCAAGGTGGTAGTCCAGAATGTACAAAAGCTGCTTCTCCATGAGATTGACCTCGGCAAGGGAGAAGAAGCGGGCGTAACGCTGCCAGTGCATGTTCTTCGGGCTTGAGTCGTTAAGGTACTTGGCTGCACAGATGAGGACAGCGAGGAAGACGCGATGCCGTGTGCACTTCATGCCGTGGGCGACTGGGGGAAGGCGCTGCTTTAGCCGGTTGAGGTAGACGAGTACAACGGAGAGGGTAGGCATCTGGACATTCGACTGAACGACGAGACCGCGAATGAAGTCGGAGAGTGTGGGAAGCTCGTCATACTCGCCCTTGCGCGGAAGAGGGGCCTCCCACCAGCGCGAAGGACCAGCCTGACCAGGGGAGGGGGGAAGGGTTCGTGGAGAGAGCGGAGGAGTGGGGAGGGGCTCGTCCTCGATGCGGATGACAGCCTCACATTGAGACGCGACGAAGTCTGGAAGTGGAGTCAGCACCTAAGGTTCGCAGCGTAATTGGAGCTGGGTAGGCACTCTGTGAAGACAGAGTGCTAGTGTGAACTTACCAAAGAACTCTGGCGGAACCTTGTTCTTCAGCGAGTGGACAACGGTCGGGTCGTGGGCCGACAGTCGCAAGAGAGATGCGGGGTGGATAGGATCGCGGGGCATGGTGAGAGGTGTCGCAATGTGGGGAGGTGGTGGTGATGTCGTGGTGGGGAGGGGGGAGGAGGGTCAGGCGTTGAGAAGAGACCGACCGCGACGTTGAATATAGACGAGTGCGCTGACCAGTATTGAGGAAAGTGATAAGGTTGAAGTCGCGCAGTCGCTACGTGAAGAAGAGAACGAAAAGAAGGTGGAAGGTAGGGGTGGACTGATGCGAGAGGAGATCAGACGCTATATCTAATATCTATGCCGGAGGAGCGGTAGGATGTAGGTTTGCGGTGCAGGGACGTTTGGGCATGCAAGGTTTCGCAGGCAGACTGGGAGGCGGCAGGCGGGTTAGGCGGGCTGGCTGGCGGACTGCTCGAATGGCGGCTGATATGATGATCGAATGGTGATGGCCAAGTAGGAGCTGTCGATCGAACTAGTGCGAAAGAGAGGAGGGGGTCTGAACGTCGTGGCCCTTTCTCAACCTACTGAGGATAATATATGGGATGGGGAGGTTTGTGACTTTGCGGTAGCGGCGCAGTCAGTGTGCTCCTCGGGTGGCCTGGCGGCCAGACGGTCTGGCGGCGGAGGGTCAGGATAAGCAGGATGGTCAGGACGGGGCGGGGTTGCACAGGCGAGAAGGCTAGATGGCTAGAGCCAGGTCGAGCAAACAGGCGTCTGAATGAATGTCGGTCGAAAAGCAGGCTAAGGTTGTGGAGAATCTCTGGTCAAGGTCCAAGGTCCAAGGTCCCAGAGCAGAGCCAGGACCCACGAGGATTGAATGCAGATGCGGGTTACCCGACCGCCTTGAGGATGCGCAGGAAACGCAGGAAACATAGGAAAACACAGGAAATGGCCCTTGAGCCAGTTTTGAGCCCTGCCGTGAGCCGGTTCCCTGGGGACCCTTAGCGCTCCCTGCGATCCTTACTCTCCTTAAGCATTAGGATTTAGCGTCCTGCACCAGCTTCGCTCTTCCACCTCCTGCTCCCCCTCCTCCCCCCGTCACCGGGCCAGCGGTTCACGGCCCCTCGGATCCCTCGGCATGCGGAGGGGCTTGGTGCACTCACTCCTGGCTCCTGCACCTCCAAGTCCCACATCCCTGACGCCTTGCGCCACCGTTACGGGATCGCGGCCGGGCTCATTGCCACCACAGACGGGACGCTCAGTGGCGTCCGTGTCCTTTAGACGTGATCCTAGCTGAAGGAAACATAGGACACCTCTTCACGCTGTGAATGCCATCCCAGCATGCCCATCATCTGCCTCCGTGCGCTGCTGCTGCCTTCCTGTACCGCATCCGACCGTGTTTTGCGCCGTCTGCGCCGTTGCGCCGTGCACCCCGTTCTGCCGTGCGTGCATTGAAGTATTGCACGGCTTGCATCCGAATCCTAGATATCCTAGATTCTCTGCGGGGTTGCGTCCGACAAGCTGAATCCGGGGGAGGGAGCGATACAGTGGAGTCAGGACTCGTACTCGCCCTCCGGTGACCACTGGGGACAAGTGAACTGGTGAACTCTGCAGCAGCGAGGGCGCTGGGGACGGACAGTTGTGCCTTGAGTGAGAGGTTGATCAAGGTATGGGCGCTCCTGGAGGCGGCGAGAGAGGCGCTCACCAGGGGTACATGCAGCATCGCGGACGTTGATCACTATACGATTGGCATCTGTGCGCGCCCCGTGCACGATCACGCCAATCTCATAAGACAGTGGCTTGCCGTATGCTATGGTGATGTGCGGATTGTCTGCCCAAGACGCGGTCAACTTTGCACAGGCGGCCCTAACGCCATGCGCCGAGTGATCAGTCAGTTAGCCACCCGGCTGAACATCATGATTCAGGTCAGGCAGAATACTGCGCAAGGCCGACGCCCACCTCTGCCAGGCCGACGGACGAGCGATGACGTGCCGAAAGGCTCGAGCGACGTGCATGGGATACCCCGAACCGTTCGCCCGAGCGTGAAAACCGCAGTTCAGGTTATCGGGCGGAGGGAGGCCATCCCAACATGGCCCGGAGGATAGTGCCGGTGTGCATACGGAGGCAGAACCGTTCCCGGAAACGAACGGCGTATGCTTAGTAAGTCTCCGATGCGCTTGTTGTGATTGCATACGCTGTAAAAACAACCATGACCATGGCATGCTGAGGTGATCTGCGACGCTGCGCAAGGGCATGGCAAAGCGGCAACCACGACGTCGGGGTATGCGGGGGG